GTACCTTCATTCTTGACCAGCGTATTTCTGTCTCTGTTGTTAAATAAATATTGCCATAACAGTATGTATGGATCACTTGGGTTGTTACCGACATCTGGTGAAAATTTCATGTCATTAGCACCTCTAGTAATATATTTACTGAGAAAAATGGTGACGTGTTCAATACTTATTTTACCCGCTGCATATTCACACTGCAACTATGTTCAATTCCAATTGTTTTTGCAGAAATAGCATTTTTTTTAGTGTGAATGTTTATATCCAAAATGTGACCTTCATCAGACTCCAGTGTGAACTCTCCACGGCCCTGATGTGACCAGCATGTGCAGAAAAAGATGTGACGTCACATTCAACTGCTGTTTGTTTACAGCTAAACATGGTGCTACTCGTTAGCAGGAAGTAAAGTATCGACCAAATAACTTTAGGATCGATACAGTCTGCAACCGTTCAGACTGTCAGGAAAATATCTGCGATGGGTCACATTGGCCTTTAGTGTGAATGCAGCCAGAAACTGGTGGAAACTTGAGTCACCTGACTGACATGTCAGGCTGGCTGTATCTCTGGAGATAAACAGATCTGATGGAACACGTGAAAACAACCTGAAAGTCAGACTGCTGCTGAACTGAACAAAAAGAGAATGAGTAAAAAATGTAAATGGTAAATGGCTTGAATGTATATAGCGCCGTAACAAATCCACTTGGACTCCAAATTGCTTTACACTACAGGCATTCACACATTCACACACTGGTGGTAGACAGCTACAGCTACCCTGGGGCACACTGACAGAGGTGGGGCTGCCATGCACTGGCGCCACCAGACCCTCTGACAACCATCAGTAGGCAAGCGGGTGAAATGTCTTGCCCAAGGACACAATGACTGAGACGGCTGGAATAGGGGGTTAAACTGGTGAATCCTTCCTGTTCCAGGACGACTCCCCTAACCACTCCACCAGAGCCGCCTCTAAATAGTAGAGATCCAACTGGCCGAAGGCACCAGAAGGTCACARCCAGTGGCGATTCTAGCCCTGAACCTCTGAAAATAATTACTATTACATTACTATTTTGTAAGAAACTTTTCTCAAACCTTAGATTCACCAAAATATAGAATAAATTTGAAAATAGAAGCATTTGTAGAGCCTCTGGCAGTCATGCAGTTACATGAATCCGGTGTGGTTAACACTCAAATATCTGAGTCCTCTCTGGAAATGAACACATCACAGAAGAGCCGTAGCTCGGGTATCATCAGGATTTCCGCTTTGGTCCAAAAAAAAAAAACTTCAGGAGCAGAGCCACAATGGATAAATGTCAACTCCAGCTGAAGTGGCCAAAAAACAAACTGTGGTCTGGCTGCAGTCTGATGACAGTCAAGCCTGTTTCATAAGTCAAATCCATGAGATCGCTGCACAGACTGGCCCAGCTTTAAGCCTCCCTCGGTCATTCATAAAATCACAGGTGAAGCCGGCCAGGTCCCGCTCACATGTACACCCCTATAAGTGAACGCAGCAGCGTGGAACCAAAAGAGGTGTGTAGCAGAACTCTGCTGGGCTGAAGTGGACTGTTTGTGAGACACGTCTGCTGCCTTTTATCAAACAAACTGAATAACTTACTTTAGTAGTTCTGTGGTGTTTAAATAGTTTTTAAACTAGCTACACATTTGCTGTTCTGTGTCATTTTCAATATTATTATAATAACAATAATAATAATCTGTAGATTAATCCTCCACCGCTCACTGACTCTGCGTTGTATCAGAGAAAAAATACTAAATTGGCTCATTATAGCAAACCTGTGGCTCAGTATTTTTTAAATTTAACCACAATGTTGCTGTTTCTCATCATCTTTAATATTCCCTCTGTAATAAATCTGTTTGTTGGTTAGATCCTAGAGTCGCTCACTGWTGTCATTGGCTCATTATCATTTTCTAAGCATAGAACCGCGGGTTTCTTTTTCACAAATGGGTCTGCCRGGCCATGTCCCGGCTCTAGGGCTGCCATGATTAGTCGATGACTAATAGACTATTAAAATAGTCAACGACTAATTTAATAGATTATTA